CTCTCTCTCTCTCTCTCTCTCTCTCTCTCTCTCTCTCTCTCTCTCTCTCTCCCTCCCTCCCTCCCCCTCTCTAGTAACACCCAAAATCGTTGGTACTTATATGACCTAATTGTGTTGCAAGTGACGTAAACCTCTTACTAAACGAAAGTTCATCTGAGTTGTGTTGATGGGGGCGCAATATAGCAAATCATTTTTTTTTCGTTTTATTGGCCCTTTTGAAGCATTTGTTTGAGTTGTTCATTGTTTGTTTTTTCCTGTTCATTCTCTCTTGAAGACCGGTGTCAGTGGTGTTTGGACTGTCGTAGAACGCAAAAGACAGGAATTCGATTCCTATGCGGGGATAACCTTTTAAAACAGAAAATAAAGATACGCTTCCCCGTATTTCTATCTGGACGCAGTCTCCCACTCAGTCTGGGTTGGTTCAGATAGGCATGATCAAAGAAGTCCGCTTTCTAAATAATTTAAATTGTATTGATGGGGGCGAAGAACGTTTAGAATCAATAATGTTAAGAGGCGTTGTTAAGTTGATAAACAAAATGCTAGATTCCTGCCCTCTGAGCGACCTCGTTTCATGTCTCTAAAGGGTTATCCTCCAACTGAATTTGCGCGGACGGGTCTTTTCTGTTAGGTCTGTATGTTTTATTGGAAAATGGACGTTTAATTTGATATGTACCGAAAGTAAAACAATCGTAACATCAATATGACTTCCTATTGTGTTATAAACGTTGCACCCGTGATCTTTGCGGAGCTACGTATTAGTTAGTTTTTTGCGTCACTTGCAACACCATAAGGTCATATAATTAATATAAAAGCTGAAGACAAGAGATGTCACAAGATAGTATCAAACACAAAAAGGAGAGGACCAGGAGATCAGGGCGATAGATGCGGAGATTTGACGTGTCGACGTCTGCACCTGGCGGTTAGGCACTTTGCTGCAGCACACAGAAGGCCTGAGTTCGATTCCCTTTTGGGAAGAATTTTTATCAAGTATTTTGCTAGGACGTTGTATCCTTCTCAGGCCAAGTTGGTCCTGACAGAAAGAGTCGAAACCCACCTCCTAAATAATCTAAATTTCTTCAATAGGTGCGTAAAATCACTTACAGTAAACAATTAAAGAGTCTTGACTAAAACCACTAAAGGTGTCACTGCCTCATTCGTTGACCCGTGATGTGTTACAAAAGTAAGCATGCATGTAGCATAAAAACCATACGCCTACAAACTGGAATACTACCAGTAATAAAATTCATAGAGCGTCAAAGAGTCAATGGTTTGGACATCTAACCAGAATGCCTCAGAAACAACTAGCGGCTGGGGGCTCTCGTAGCCTAGAGGTTTATGTGTTTGCCTCTCATTCAAAAGTCCGGGTTCGAATCCGGGTAGCGACCGAAAAATTATCTTCTCTAAAATGTTCTCCTTTTACCTCCTTTCCTGCTCTCTAGCAATGTTCTGTCGTCTGCTTTCGTCTCCACTTTTTGCAACACGTCACCTCCTTTGCCCCCTGCTATGGGCTCCTGATTCTCTCTGCAGCCTTTCTACTGCTACTCCCTGGCTTCTTCTTACTGCTGTCTTTCAGCCACATCCCTGATCTTCTGGTAGGAAAGATCTACGCCTAGCCTTCTCGGACAAGGGCGAAAAATCTCGGAGGTCCCGGGTGCAAGTTGCGCACGTTAAAGATCCCTTGGTGGTATAAAATCTATAAGAATAGGCTTCGGCTGTCATCAGGGCAAAATTCAAAATTTCCTACCAACTGAAAATGTTTAACGTGTCCCGCGCATTCATACGACCTTTTGCAGTTGCGAGAGCCGTAAAACACTTACCAAAAATATAAATAATAAAAGCAAATGATAGGGGCTAGAGCTTGCAACACTCGAGAATCCGGCTTCAAATCAAGAGGAAGACCATGAAAGACCAGGGTGGATGGGGTTAAAAAGATCCTGGAACAACATAACATATCTATCACAGACGCCTACACACCTAGCGCAGGACCAAAAACTGCATCTCCCCTCGACATCCTGGTGATACCAGAAGAAGTAAAAGTAAAGCACGGCACGCTTAAAAACAAAAACAAAAACAAAAACAACAATAACAAGAACGACAACAACAACAACCAAACTCAAGAGTGGTGACGTCGGCTGTCTAGTAGTTAGATTACCGGAAGTGCAGTCATAGGATTCAGGGTTCGTCGGGATTCAAGGCTTAGCTCGATCCAAAGTCACGTCCTTAGATAAGAAACGTTACACGTATTTTCCCATTTGGCTCCGTCCTATCGGGGATAGACCTCAGATTCAGAGCTGTCGCCTGTTAAAAATTGCACAGTGTTGATAAAAAGGTTAAACCGATACGATTCGGCACATTTAATATATCTAAATTCAGGTTCTACCTATAGATATCTATGTCACATAACGCACAAAATGAAAAAAAAATGCAGACATTAGACTTTAGTGAACACGATATCGTTGGTGGCCACAGTGAAACACCCTGTTTGTTTTGTTTTAAATGAAAACAAAATAAAACAAAGCAACAAAAAAATACAGAAAATAACGTGCCAAACAAACAAACAAACGGAAAAAGCCCAGGTTACCACGTCTTGCACAATGACACACCACAGTGACTATTTACAGAAACGCTGTGTCATCGATGTCGCGTGGCTTCATTCACGAGTCTGAGCCTACTATCCACTCAGCCTCAGAATTTGGAAAAATATTGGAGCCTGTTTTGGCCAAATGTTGTCTGAGTTGATGACAGTTTGGCATAACACGAATCGATCTCACCAGAGCAAAAGCTTCTTTTTCGTTTGTTTGAGTCGCGGTTGGATCTGTTTCGAGGGGAAAAAACGCACTCAGAATTGGCTGTATGGTAATAACAAAATTAAAGGCGAAAATTTGTTATTAATGATAATAATCATTAGAAAGATAATCATAGCTACAATAATTTTACTACTACTACTACTACTACTACTACTACTACTACTACTACTACTACTACTACTACTACTACTACTACTACTACCTAAC